CGTTATGAACGTCATGCTAATAATATTTTACAAGTGACAAGACATCTCAATGCATTTGCTAATACGAATGCACGTAACACTCTTTTTACCTTAAGTAAGATGATACAGTTCTCTAATGGATTGATTTAAAATATGTGATTTATGTTGAATTCTAGGTGAAGCAATGGGAGTTGCTCAACATCATGATGCCGTTAGTGGTACAGAAAAACAAGAAGTTGCTTTTGATTATGCACAACGATTATCTGAAGGCCTTCAAGCAGCTGCGGTATGTTAAACGATGCATTACGAATATTTTTATTTAGCGTATTTTATCATTTGTACAACTTTTTCGATTTTGATTTTGATATTATTTAAGAACTGAATTTTAATGTTTTTTAGGGCATTATCAACCAAGCATATGCTAAACTATTACCTAAAGATAGTCAATCACCACCAATTCAATTTCAATTTCTTTGTCAATTATCAAATATTAGTCAATGTTTAGGTATTGAAGGTCAAGAACGCGTAAGAAAATGATTATCATTCTTGTAACTAATTTTCTTATGTTTTCTCTATAAAACAGTTTACAGTCACATTATGGAATCCACTTATTCATCAGGTCACACAACATATTCGTGTGCCTGTTAGAACAGATTATACAGTTCGTGATCCAACAGGAGAAACTCTTTTTACAGAAGTACTTGAAAAAAAAGAAATGACATAGTTTACACTGTTCCTATTTATAGCTTGTTCCAGTATCACAAGCAGTACAAAATATTCCAGGTCGTACAAGTCTAACACAAAAACAAATTATCTTTAAAGCTACATTACCAGCTCTTGGTTTTAATACTTATTATTTTGAAAAGAAACGTGAGTTCTTTTTAGTATTTATTTAATAGTTTTTAGAAGAAAACTTTTGTTTCTCGTACTAGCTGATCAAGAAAAGAATGAAAAATCTGCAGTAAAAATAACACATAACGAAGAATGTACTTTAAAAAATCAAGTGAGATAAATTAAACTATAAATATTTTTCGAAATCTACTACTATTATTTTTAGCATCTCCGAGTGGATTTTGATGATCAAGGTAATCTACATCAAATTGTTAATTTGGATAAAAATACTGGTGTACAATTCAAGAGTCAAGGTTTTTATTGGTATCAAGGTACGTTTATAATTAACATAGAGAAGTATAGTTCATTAGTTTTTGTTGTATATCAGGTTTTGCTGGTAATAATTCTCGGCCAGAATTTCAAGCATCAGGTGCTTATATTTTTCGACCACTTGCATCTGACCCACAACCAGTCAGCACTACACGATCAATGTAAATAGATTTATCATCTATTTTCTTTACTAATATGTAATATTCGTTTAGAACATGTATAAAATCAGAAAGTGTTCAAACAGCAATAGTTAC